GGCACAGAGTTAGGGAGGGACATTTAGGGGCAACAAAAGGAAACGTGCTGGAAAAATATCGGGGGACGAGGAAAGACACTGGAACAGATTAAGGGAGCAAGAAGGGACACTAGAGAAGACACTGGGCACGGCACCAAGGAGAAAACGGGGAGCACTGGGCACAAGTCAGCTCAGCAGCAATGCCCCATGGCCAAGTGCCGCTACTCCCCCTTCTGCCCCTTTGCTCTCCACCAGGTGCTTTAGGAACACCAGCTCAGCCCTTGCACATGGATAGTGAGGGGTCACAAATAACAGGCTGTGCCCTTGTTTTGGGAGACACACGCAACACTGAGTGCAGGGACAGAGTAGGGACATAGTGGCAATCAGCCATCCTTTCCCCGCTGGGTGAGCAGTCGGCTGTTCCTGGGAGATTAAATATAGCCACTATCATCATCTTGCCTGTAGGATTCAGATGATGTTTTCCCCTTATTTTTTAAAAACACGCGGGTGCAGTCACCTGTGCCCACCAACATGCCATGCAGGGCTCAGATCAGAGGTGAACCAGACCTCCCAGTGGTTCAGTCTAGCATTAAAATACACATTGAGCACCTCTCAATAGCCCCTGAGTGCCCTGTGTGTGCAGGGCCATGAAAACCACCTGCCAGGGAAACACAGATATATGCATCAATAAAACATCCATATAGATACATAAATACAAATATAAATACAGAAATTGAAATAATAGAAATAGTAGAAATTGAAATAATAGAAACAGAATAATAGAATCATAGGGTTGTTTGGGTTGGAAGAGACCTTAAAGATCATCCAGTTCCAATTTCCCTGCCATGGGCAAGGACACCTTCCAGGTGGAAGGACATGAGACCAGCTTGCTCAGAGCCCCATGAAGCCTGGCCTTAAACACTTTCAGGCATCCACAGCACCTCTGAGCAACCTGTTTCAGTGCCTCATCACAGTCACAGTAAAGAATTTCTTCCTAATATCTAATCTAAACTTGCCCTCTTTCAGTTTAGAGCCATTCCTCCTTGTCCCATAACTACATTTAAATAGAACTAGGAATCTTTGATGTGAAGACCTGGCCTGGCAGAAGACACTCAGGCCCCTGATGCTTTCCCACAGATGGAAGGACCCAAGTGCTTCTCCTTGAGTCTTCCTCCCTGATGGAGTTTCTTCACATGCTCTATTCCATTTGGGGAGTGGGAAAAGTTCTCAGCACCTGCAAACCTTTTGATTTAATTAGGAGCAAACTGCTCCTAATTGTGGAGAGGAATACCCACCCTCCTGCCTCCCTTGGGGTTTGCTTTTGTTTAATAAATAAATGGCTTTCCATCCCATATGGAGCGCACGGAGCTCTGTTGGCCTCTGTGCAACACTTTGACCGGCCGAGGGACCTCTCATTTTTCCTATCTGGGAATGAACTGCCGGCGCTGGCTGCCTGCACGTAGGCAACCCCAGGCGCGCAGATAAGGCACCATCTGTTTTTATTTGCATCCAAGTTTGTAACCGTCGCGCGTGGCTCGCCCCCGGCCAGGCTCTGAGGGGAGACGAGGAGGTTTAGGAATTGGCCCCCGGGGTTGGCACAGCACCACGGGCTGCCTGAGGAGCTCCAGCCCTAAAACCCAGGCAGCGATTATCAATCCAGTGCAGCGATGGGAGGCGAGGCGGAGCAGGGAAAGGCGGCAGATGCTTTACCTAACTTTGGCCACCTTAGGGCTCTAATCTCACTCGCTCACCTGGGCAGCTCCTGCTGCTGATCGGGGCTGCTCATCCTCCTCCGGCGGGTGCCGCTGCTGGCAAACAAACATGCTCTCCCCTGTGCATGGTGGTTCTAGCCCTTTCACACAGACTAGATCCCTTCTTTTAGTCAGTCAAACTAAGGGGAAGATCCCGTGCTCCCAGGCAACTCACTGGAGGGTAGGAACACAGGTGGTCACAGCTCATCGGGCTGCTGCTGGCTTTGCACATGGGGGGCAACCTGGCCAAAGCAACCCCCAAGCACCCCAGCTGACACTGGAATGCACCCCTTGAACTTTGCACTGTTTTGACAATGCATCTTTAACATGAACTGGTCAGGACTGAGAGGATGAGACCATTTTCCAGCCCCTGGCAGGATGTCAGGCCTGGAGGTGGAAGGCAGATGCTGCCAAGCAATGCAAGCCCTGATGCCTCTGGGAAGTGGGTCCTGAGCTTTTGGCACCCCACTGCAGGCAGCACAGGAGACTCCTCCAGAAGGAAGAGTTATTCCCATAGGCACACGTGCCACCATGGCAGTCTTGGGTTCATGCCTGTATTTTTGGCCACAGGAGCCTGCCACCATGCCCAGGATGGGGTGGGTTACCCCCTGCACCCACTTTTCTCCTCAGGAATTGCTACCGAACCACTCCAAGCCTCCCCTTTCTGGCATTATTCTGCAGAGATTAGGAAATCCTACATCTCCAACAAACCCCAGAGGACAGAGCCTGGCAGAAGAATCCTCTCTGTAATCCTGTTTACCTTCTCCTCCCTGCCTGCACTGAGTTCAACCAGACCCCAAGGGGATTTACACATTTCCAGCTGCAGATTTCGTCTTAAATGGTCAAACCGTGTCCACTGTGGATGTGCTACGGATCCATGGGGTAATAGCCCCTGCCTTGTAGGGGCAGAACAGCTGTTCGCAGGCCTTTGAGAGCACCAGGGCACTTCTGGCAATTAATGCCAGAGATAACATTTCATTTTACCCAGTTTCCATTTCAGAGAGACTCAAAATCCCCAGCAGTGAGACTTGGTCTTGGTGGTACTCAGATCCAAGTGCTTCTGTGCTTTTTAAAGAGCAAAACAGGGAAACTAGCTGCAGTTCCAGCTGTGCTCATAAGAGTTCCATATCTGAGTCCCTGGTGTGCAATGCAGTGCGGTCAGCCCAGCATGAAGCCACTCAGCCTGGCCATTGCTAGGGGCAGAGCAGGCGTGAAGGATACAAATAAATGGCAAAGGGGCATCACCCCTGACTGCTGGACTGATTACCACTGTTTTAAAAGACTTATGGGCTGCTTTTTAAGGCCAAGCTCCTTATGTGAGCTGGGGTGCTGGCTCCCACACAAGCACGGTGCTGTACAGCTGTGGGTTTTCCCCGTGCCTGAGGTTGGGATGTTTCTCACAAGCAAGCGGATGGGGCACAACCATCGCTTTGGGATGTTTTTTGGGCTCCGCCAGCCATCACACCTGTCACCCGCGGGCATTTTGGCCATCTCCTCTCCTGGCCACTGTTTCCCTGCCCAGGTCCCCTGTTCCCAGGAGATAAGGATGTGGGGACGACGGGGTGACCATATCGCGCCGACGCAGGAGAGACAGGCTCTGCCTGATTAACGCCGTGCCAATTTTGGAGGCGCGTCCCCCATGGCCCCGGGATGAGGGGATGACTCTGCCCTGCCAGGGGCTGATCTGCAGCCACAGAGCCTCAAGGAGGGGCAGCTCCACCACATGTCAGGGGCACGCACATTTCGCCTGTGCTTACGCCACGCGCTTATCGGGCTGAGCAGCCCTCGTCTGAAAGGCAGAAAGAAAACAACACACCACCCCAACAAACCAACCCAAACACAAGATACCAAACTCTTCGGGGAAGGGATGGGTGAGCAGGGTGGTGAGCACTGTGCAATTGCTTCCCCTCTGCTTGCCCCCAGTGCCCCACTTTTGGGAGTTTCCTTCCCCAGGAGCAGGTACAACTACGCAGACTGTTGTTTGACTGGTTATTTTTTCTAAAAAACACACTGTGTCCTGAACCTTTTTTTCCCCTCCTCTTTTGGCTCCTATAAATCCCCATGGCAAGACCAAGCTGTGCAGCCTGAAAACAGCTGCCCTGAGCTGTTCTTTCACCTCTTGCCATCCCACGGGCAAATCCCCCAAATGCTCGCCCCTTTCCAAACATGATGGCAACAGCCATATCCTGCTGGGAGACAGAGGGAAAAGCCTGGACCTTGGGCAGCACAGGGACAGAAGGGTTTCTAGGCAGAGGCAGGAGGCCAAAACCCATCAACAGCAAGCCCTGGTGCTTGACAGGCGTACTAGGGAGCTGAGCTCATTGCTTGGACTCTTGCACCATCCACTGGGTTGCCCAAGGGCCTTGCGCACATGACTAAAATCTGCAACCCAATTTTACCAGAATTTGTGACTAACAAAGTGATCTGCTTTTCCTAGGGAAAGTAGTCCCTGCAGCCCTTCCCAAAGGAAGGGCAGGCCTTTGCCCTCTTGCGCTAGGGGATGCCAATACCATGGCAAAACAGTGCTACCCTAATAGCCCTCATTTCAGCTGCCACTGCATTCTTACACCCTGCTTCTATCCCTAGGTCTCACAGTACTCCAGTCTCTCAGCCAAGACACCTGTCACCTCCATCCAAGAATCCTCCTTAACCCCTTTGTCTTTCCTTCTTCAGATGCTGCCTCCAGCCCCAGCATGTGACCACATTAAGATCTTTTCTCTGTAGAACAACAGCTCCTATTTATTTCAGGATGGGGCTGAATGAGTAGTAGTCACCACCAGGTTCTCTGTCCTGACAAAAAAGCAACATGCTTCACACAAAAACCAAAAGGTAGAAAGCATTTATAGTCTCTGTTATCTCCCCAGGATCTCTCTATACTGTTTACTCTGTCAGCAATTTGCAGTGCCATGTACCCTTCCAATGCTGGATTTACTAATGCAGCCCAGGCTCAGCTCTTCCTCCATGAGGCTCAGGGTCACACGGAATTTTGGGAGCAGTGCAGTGAAGCAGATATTTTGTCCCTCAAACGCAAAGGTGGGGCAAACTGCTGGATAACAGCACTGCAAGGCTCCTCTCACCCTCTGGCCAGGGGTGCTCCTGTTGCTTTCCCTCACCAAATCCTGAAGAAAGGAAGCAACTGGTCAGTATACACTAAAACCTCAAAAAAAAAATTACACACACACACACACACACACACACACAAACAAACACACACACAGCCCTCACCACTGGATTAGGGCCACATGGCAAGCCTTCTTCTCAAGGAACACATTTTTCTCAGCGAAAGGGGAAGATTTTATTAAGTTAAAAGTGGAAGGGCACAGCGGAGCAGCAGCAGCTGTCACCTTGGGGAGGTTGGCTCGGGTGGATGCAGTAGCAGCCTCACAGCTCCTCTTCCCCTGAAAGGAGAAGCCCCGTGGCTCTGGGCTCCTGCCAATGCAGGTTCTTGCAGGAGCCAAAAGGGCAGCCACGGAGAGAGAGCTCGGTCATGTGGACTCTTGCCAAGGTGTCCTCTTTCAACCGTCTCAGGCAAGCACAGCCATGGCAGACAGCCCCGGCGGCTCCCTCCTATGGCTTGCGCGTCTTCTCCGCAGGCCCCTGGGGGTGGCACGGGGAGGGGGAGCATGGTCCTTGCCGTACATCCCAGGGGGACCGTGGAGACATTTGGAAGAGAGGGAATATGTGCCAAAGGTGGCTGTGTGTGGCCAGGAGAAATGGGGCTAGGAAAGGGGGAAAAACCAGGTTCTCTTTTTCAGCTTAGAGAAATGCTGGTGATGTAGTAAAATTTTCCTCCTCCTCTTCAACTCCTTTCCATGGGGAAAAAAAATTCCTCTATAAAATATAATTTTCACATATAAAATCCTGAGGAAGGTGCATGTAAGGAGCCAGTCCAAACAATGTGCTCAGGTATGCAGGCAAAAAGGGTTCATCAAAAAAGCTTTGGGAGGGGAGTGAGGAGGTTGGGGGTGTGTGGGACTCCTTGCCAAGGTGGCAACGGATAGGGATTCAACCTCCCTCTCCCCACGAGTGAGGAATGGAGCAAATACAAAACAAGAACAGATAACAAATGTAGAGCAGACCTAGAGAGAGACAAAACCAGACATGGTTTAGAACGATTCCAGTGAACACAGAAATGCCATCCCTTCAGCTCCCTGGGGAGGTGGCTGTCTGGTGCCCTGCTACACTCCCACTCATCTCAGCACCCATCAGCAAGCGCTGGTGGAGCAGGGTGAGCCCAATACAACCAAGAAGCAGAAGCACTCTGGACAACAGGACGCCCCCATTCCTGCCACCCTGCTCCCCCCATCTGCGGCAGAGATGCCTGCAGGTGAGCGTGGGAGAAGGGCTGGGTCTAGTCAGGCCTGCTTTGATGCAGACCTAAAATTATCGTGCTGCGATAGGGAAACCACTTCAAAGGTGAAGGGAGCAGAAACACTGCCTACACAGGACTACCCACACTGTCACCCAAGCCACGGAGCAAAGGCCACTATTTGCCTGGCTCCCACAAGCAGCCTGGTGAGGAGTGATGGGCGCTGGCTGCATCAAGAGCACCATGAAAAGGGAGCTGGAGCCCTTGGGAGGACATCAGGGCCAGCAGGAGTGCCAGCAGTGCAGGCTACGAGGATGCGAGAAGCAGAGAAGGACGAGTTTAAGCTTAAAGTTTCAAAACGGATTGGAGCAGGAGAAACTGGCAGCTTCCAGGGCCCTGCAGCAGCCAGTCTGAGCCACCTGCACCCGCAGGGGATGTGCCAGCATCCCCAGGCTCACCGTTACTTGCTGTTGCACAGCGACTCCTTCTCCTGCAGAGCCGCCATGGCCAGGCGCAGGTGCTCCTTCAGCTGCTCGATCTCTCGCTCCGAGCGCACCTTAATGTGATTCAGCTCTGCATAGACGTCTTGGTATTTCCCTGAGGCAAATCTCTTGTCCTGCCAGGGAAGGCAGAGGGGTCAGGCAGGTTGCAGGGCTCATTTTAGGGAGGGTGGCAGCAAGGTGAGCCCAGAAGGAGAGCCAGCAGGTGAGGAGGGGAGAGCTAGCCTTGGGTTTGAAGCCCATCCCAATCTGGGCTTCAAAATCTAGGCAGAAACCATTCACAAGAGGAGCATGGAGGTATCACTTTGCACACACCAGGCCAGGGAAGAAGGCAGAGACACTGGTCCCACAGCAGCAGGGATGTGCAGCACCAGGTTGAGGAGGTAATGTGGGCTTTAACACAGCTTGTGTGCATGTGGGGCAGCCATATGGGAAACATCACCCCACCAGGAATGCAGGCCACTGAGAGAGCTGGGTGCAGCTGGTTATGTGGCCAAAAACTTATGTGAGTAAGTTATAAACTCCTGGAGCATCACTGAATTCCAAAGTCTCTTTCAGCTTCCCCTTTGGCAGGGGCCTTTGAAAATTCCTCTGAAGGAGCTGCTGCCAGTGGAGGGAGCAGCACACCCAGAAACAGTGCCCAAGGAAACCCATCCACTCAGAGAGGGGACAACTAGAGGAAGCAGAATGCCAGACAGCTTTCATCCAGGTTTCCCACTTGCAAAGGTGGTCTCCTGTCTTGTCCATGCTTATGTGTGCATACATCTGGGGAAATCAGCAGCCCTGTGACTCCTCCCTTGTACAAGGTCAGCCTGTGCCAGTCCGAGCTGTTGGAGCTGCTATGTGCTCTGCTGCCAGCAAGGACAGCACAGGCGACAAGAGGGTTTGTCTCGAGCATCCCATCAAACCCAGCCTGACCCTGCTGATACACAGCCCTGCTGCTTCCCTGCCTTCCCTCTCCTGCTCTTTCCCAATTGCTCCCAGAAAACACCGACCTTTTGCATCATCTGCAGCTCCTCCCGGAGGCACTGCACCTCCTTCTTTACGTACTGGAGCTCATTCTCCTTCACCCGCAGCAGCACCTGGGCCAGAGAAGGGGGAGAGGAACCAGAGGTGACTCAAGAGCCACCGCCTCGGAAAGGCCGGCAGGCCCTGGCGCAAGCGCAGCGGTGGAAAAGGAAGGAAGGGCCAGAAGGGCTGGGGCAGGAAACGGCGCAAGCAGCTTGAGAGAGCAGCGGAGAGGAGCCTTGCGCTCTGCTTCCTGCACCTCTCCATCCGTCACCCCCTCCCACTTGCTCCAAGCCAAAGCCATCAAGAGGAGACTCCCAGGACAGGCAGGGATGGAGGAGCGGGGCAGCCAGGGGGACCCCTGTACCTCCAGCTCGCAGGAACTCCGCTCGTTGTTGTGCGCAGCGCGGTCCCCAGAGCCCCGTGATGAAATAAAGCTTCGCAGCTTCCCGATCTCGTCCGAGAGGCGGGTCTGCAGCTCCTGCAGGCAAAGCCAAAAGATGTCAGAGTAGCCATGGCACAGAGCTCTCACTGTCCTGACCATTCCATCTCCTTGGCAGACCTTGTTCAGCTTAGAGACCATGTTGTAAGCCCCCGTCCATAGATAATGGCAGCATCTGCATCCAGCAGAACACACTCGCCATATTTAACGCCACAGTTGAGATGGCCTCTAACTCTTAATAGTTTTATTTCTGATGATAAAATCTCAGAAGGGATGAAATATGAACAAACAGGGGAGTTTTAACAGAGGGGCTGTGCTGTGTGAAGGAGGAACATGCTCCAATGCTCCTCTCTGCTGGCAGGAAAGCCCTTCTCTTGCCTGATTTTTCTGGAGAAGGTCCTTCCCCTCCTGCTGACAGCGCTCCAGTATCTGCTCCCGCTCTTCTGCCTTCTGGGTGAGCTCCCCGATTTCCAGGCACTTTTGGGAATACTGCTCAGAAAGCACCTGCAGTTCCCGCTTCAGCGACTCCACATCCAACCTGCCAAAGAGGCACCAGCTCATCGCAGCCCCAAAACCCTTGCCAGCTCCTGGCCCCTGGCACTGCCCTCCCCCTGCCATGGCCAGTCTCTGCCCACATCAGTCATTAGCACAAGACACTGTTCCCTGTGAACCCGAGCTTCAGTTCCTGCACTCCTGCACATGAGCATGGTGCTTCTTGGAGCTCCGAGCCATGCAGAAGAAACGGAGGAGCTTTCCACAAAGAAAATAGAGGGGAAATAACTATAGGCATGAGGGAGGTGCTATAGGGCAAAAAGCCAAGCAGGGGACAAACTTCACATCCCTACAGCTGCAGCAGCCCTGGGAGCCACTACTGGGCTCTGAGGAGGAAGCGGGGGAAGTGGCAGGAGGAGAAGCCCAGGACTAGAGCTGCAGATGGAGTGTGGTGACAGCGGCACAAGGCAGCATCATTGGGCAAGGGGAGTGACAGAGATGCTTTCTTACTGGTGCTGCTTCTGGAGGGCTTCTGGGAGCGAGCTGCATTGCTGGAAGCTCCGTGTCCTGCCCAGCTCCTTATTCATTTCCTCTCGGTGGGCTTTCTTCAGTGCCTCAATGGCTGCAGAGGGGGACAGTGAGAAATGGGGGATCAGGCTGTGCCAGCTTCATGGAAAACACACCGGAGAACTGGCTAAGCTCTCACCACTGCAGGTTCCCAGATGCCTCTCTGCAGATTCCCCCTCTTCCCTTTCTTCCCTCAGGGTGTTCCCCACCATCTCCACACTCCAGGATAATCACGCTGCCAAGGGGACTGACACAGGGCACTGTGGGAGCTCTCTACCATTTGTGCCTTGCCTACCTACAAGAAAGTGCTGGTCCTCTCCCACCCATCCAGAGGCATGACCCCATTTCCTTCAGTATCTTTACCACCCCACCTCCACCAGTGCCACAGGAGCGAGAAGCACCAAAGCTCGTGCTCCAAGAGCGCCAGCCTCACACCAGTACAGTCGACAGTGTGGCTCCAGATGACTGGGGCGTCTGGCTTCTGGCAGGAGACATTTGGGGAGCGGCAGGAGGGACCCAGCTGAGCAGGGGCACAGCGTGGTGTTTGCTCCTACCTGCTGCCGTAGCCGCTGCCTCCTCTGCCAGGAGCCGCTCCTTCTCCTGCCGCAGCCGCTCCAGCTCCCGCTGGTGGTGCCTCTGCAGCTCCTCCATCACTTGCTGGTGGGATGACTCCATCTCAGCCAGGCTGCGCTCACAGGCCTCCTGTTGTGAGGAGGAAAGGAGGTGTGAGAGACCAGAAGAGAAGGAGGAAGGGCTTGGTCCAGGACAGACACCTGGCTCCAAGTCCAGGGACATTTTGAAAGAAGTGAGACTACTTCCCAGGAGGGTCTTGTCCTTCTGAAAGTGAGGTGGCACTTTAATCACTGAACACAACCATTTTACAGGGATACACATCTTGCAACTCCCCTTTGTGCTTTACAGAGGAAGAATGTTCCTGTAGCTCTTAAAACTAAAGCAAGACAGGAACATCCCTCTTGGTCCAAGAGCTGGGAATAACATGCCCAACACCACAGTCCCAACCCTACACCAGGCTGCACTGCCTGGCTGGAAGAGATCAACAGTGGGAACTGCATCTCAGTATCTGCCTTTTAAATGAAGCTGCACCCCCTGGAATCAATGAAAACTGAGCCTCCTCTCCTGAAAAGTGACACCCTGCACTACCCTGAGACATGATGGAGGCTGCCAAAGAGCCCTCCCCACAGCCTAGCGGTTAGGGATCCTCCTCACACAGCTCTCCCTCCTTTCTCATGGTTCTGAGACCAAGGGGATGGTTCTTTCTATGCTGAGTGCTATGATTAACTCGAGCTAGAGCAAAGCAAAGAGGTTCCCACCTTGGCACTACGCCTTCACTCCTCCTCCACATGCTGGCAGTGCCTCCCTGAGCCTCTGAGGAAGGATTTGTTCACCAACAAACCATGTCATTATGATTAACAGCCTGGGCCTCAAGGACATCAGCAGAGAGCTAAGACATCATCACATCCCCCAACAGCTCCTTGCCATCTGAGGACTAAGGCTCATACAAAAGACACTGGAACACATTGTGTGAATGCAAACCCTTCCTGGCTACTCCTCTCTGCTGTGATGAGGGGAGCTAGGAAGCTTCACAGAACAACACAGGAAAAGGTGAGGAATCAATCTGGTGATCTATCCAGGGACCAGCTGCAACCCTTGGCAGACAGAGAGAGTGAATCCTTTGGGGAAAGGCCAAGTTTGGTCTCAGATGTGAAATGTTGTCTTTTTGAGCCAAGTTATTAGGAAGATAAAGAAGTTCCTCCCCACTGCTTTTGCTTTTTTTTTTTTTTTTGGACCATAAAGAGGCCTGTAAGCTGTAAATATTAAATCACGATAACACAGAGTCTGGTAAGTGTCTGGGCTGGGTACTACAAGGCTTGTGGGTTTCTTTATCTGTGCTAGGTACAGCCAACGCTGTGGAACAGACTTCACCAGCCCCAGTTTCCTGCCCTGCCACCCCCCTCTGCCCCGGTATCTTCCAGCACATAAGGCCCATCCTGAAAATCCCACTCTATGGTCAAACGGCAGCCTCCACACAGGAAATCCCTGCGGGATGTGACCCTGCTTGCTTTGGATCAGTCCATGAGAGGGGAAAATAAATAAACAGAGAGAAGTGAGAGGATGAAGCATGAGCAAATTCTGCTTTGCTGGCTCTCCCACATGCTGTCCCAGCAAACGAATGGGCTGTGCTGTCAAAGTGACCTTCAGGGCTGGGGCTGTCCCCAGGGACTGGCTGACTGACTGACTGCTTCTAACAAGACACGTGCGAGCCCCAGTTAGCAAGAACCACATGTGGTGAGCACCAAACCACCAGGGAATGACCAGAGGCTCAGCAGGAAGCTGCTGACGCCCTCCTGAGCCGGGGGATGGCTCACCCCACAGCCCAGGACAGCATCGTGCCCACATGTAAAGCAGGACACAGATCCTGCACCTCTTCCCAAATTATCCTTCTCTCCCTTTATAACCCTGGCCCCTTTAAGGCCAGGCAACATGCATCAGCCTTTATGTAATTAACATTGATTACAAATGGGCCCAGTTAGGGTCACCATGGCAACCCAATGATTAGCGATAACTGCTCGGCAATAAGCTGTGTGCCAGAACTTCCCAGTTTGGTACTGGGAGTGACCCCCCAAGCCCCAGGCCCGGCACTCTACTCACCTGTGAGATGTACCCTCGGGGCACATGGCTGTCCCCCTGGGATTTTGCTGCCTCCCGAAGGCTCTCGTTTCTGGCCCGGCAGGACTCCAGCTGTGCCCGCAGTGACTGGATCTGTGCCAGGGAGGACAGAGAAAGATCTTCAGCCAAGGGTGGAAAAGTGCCATGGCCTGACCAATGTGCCACATCCAAACCCTGGGCTTAGGGATGGGGAGGACAACACATGGCCAGTGGAGGCCTCTGCTTCCCCAGCAGCCTGCCAAGAGACCACACTGGCAAAGTCAGCCCCAGCCTGCTTAGTGCCAGCAAGGAAGGGAAGACACATCCCAGCTTTCAGAGGGGGATCCATGCTGGAGGAAACCACCACAGCATGGCTCCTTTCAAAGGCTGGCAGGTGAAGAGCTTGCAGGCTTGGGAATAGCCAGAGAAGAAAGGCTGTGAATGTACTCCCAGGAAACATAGATTCCACACAAGTAGTGCCAGCAAATAAATTATCCTGGACCAAAACATGCTCTGGGGAACCTCTGCAGGTGTGTGAGAGCTGGCCTCTGGCCTTGCATTACCAGGTTCCAAAAGCTTCCATGCACTTGAGGAGCCAGAAAGAACCTACATCTCCCTGCACCTCTGCCTTGCTCTTCTGCAGAGCCTCCTGTAGCCAAGCACCACATTAAGGGGCCATCAGAATCCCAGAGATTCAGAGGAGCGATGCTCTTACCTCCTTTTTCAGCGCCTCATTGGTGTCTCCCTGGCCCCCCTTGCTCTGGTTCAGCAGTGTTGTCAAGGGCACCCGCCGCAAGTCCTTCAAGGGCAGGCGCTCCAGCTCCAGCCACTTCTTCTCTATCTCCTCGTTCAGACGGATCCGCTGGTCCTCCGAAAGTGGAGGAGTGGGGAGGTCCTGCTCCCCGGCCTTGCGGGAAGGGTCCCCTGCTGGGCCATCGCTGTTGGGGACCCTGCCATCGGGGGTCTCGAACCACTTCCGCCTCTCCTCTGAACGCATGGCCAGATCCCGCTCCAGCTCCTCATACCTGGGAGTTCGGTCGGAGACCTTCAAGCTCCCTTTCGTCCTCTGCAGGGAGCCCTGATTTCCAGGGTCTTGTGGCAAGGGAGACAGCTCCACATAGTCAAAGGCATGTCGCTGCCCCTCCGCCTTCCAGTGACTGCCCTTCGAGCTCCCCTCGGAGCCTGAGCCCGGCCGCTGCTGCTCCTCCGTCCGGAGTGAGCCTTTCTGGGGAACACAGTTACGGAAGTTCTCCTTGTCACAGTCAGGGAGTCTGAAAGCAGAGCAGGAACTGGTGAAGGAGAGGCACCGTGTGGGAAAGGATGCCAGCAGAGGCACTGCCAGCTGCTCAAGGCTCAGACCCTCACTCAGCCCAGCCTTACAAAACCACACCCTGAGTGCAGAGCTGGGCCTGTTGCACCCCATCCCTCAGGGAAATGGATTTCTCCACCAGGAAGCAAGGATCCATCCTGGTTGCAGCTATGCTGGTGGAGAAACTAGTCTAAACTTATGTGGTGAGGCAAAAAGCAGGTACAAGGAAGGGAGCCATCAGGCTCTCAACCCCTGTCACTGGCTGGTGTAACCAAACCACTTTCAGAAGGAGCAGAGGGCAGGGATGCTCTGGGACTGGTGAGATTTCCAGAGGGACCTTCCTTGCCTCTGCCAGTCAGGGTAGAGGGACAGCAAGGGAGCAGAGGACAAGCAGCACTTGGCAGCTCTTACTTGGTGACGTCTGGAGCACTGACTGGGCGCACATTCTTCCTCAGGGCCTCGATCCAGTTGCGCCGGATGCCAGAGGTCATCGCTGACAGGGTGAAGACGGCATCCTTTGTCTGCAACAGGGAGGTGACAGAGGCCCTGTCAGCACCCAGGGGATGTGCAGCAGCTCCCTCTTGCTCCCTGAGACCCACAGCCACTTGCATACACCTGTGCTGGGCTGTTAGAAAGGCCACCCTCTCTCAGGCTCTTGGGGCAGGTGGAGAGGTGGCAGGGGTGTTGGAAGTGGATCCTTCATGAGACCATCTCCAAGCAAAGGCAAAAGAAACCTTAGCACACTGGGCCAAACATGCACGGGTGCAATCCAGTTGTTCAGGTGCCAGCACGGGTGTACAGCAGCAGGGAAACCCAGACCATGAAGTGCCCATCCCTGCACACCCACAGAAATAACATTTCTCATGCTGCCTTAGCAGCCACTTCCTGCTGCTACAACAAATAGCCAAGGACAGAACCGTACTGCGGCTGGATCCAGGGTACAGGTTGTCACTCAGAGCATGGTCAGCCAGGTTACATCGAGATCTGCAGTGCTCACCACTCCCCCCTGCAGCTGTGGAAAAGTTGCCTTGGCCAACACACTGAGACACTCCTGGCATTTAGCTTGGCTCCTGGACTGCCTCCAGCACAGCCTTCAACCAGCCCTGCAAAGCCTCCTCCTCCTCCTTCCTTCCTTTGCAGGCAGGCAGCCCTGATGTCCCAGAGCACTGTCACCCATGTGTCAAAAAAACAACCTTGGGCCACCAAGTTGCCACAAGATCTGTACGAATTGCCTCTCAGCATCTCAGCACAGGAGGGAGCACACATTCCCACCCCATGTCCCTCGGTGCCGCTGCTGCCGGACACTCACGTGTATCTGGAAGCCGTAGTTGCGCTGCACCGCGAACTCCGTCACATCCGTGCAGGAACGGAGGTCGATTTCTCCGTCAAGGTCATCAGCCTGCAAGCAGAGCCACCCGCTAGGACATCAGTGCGCAGCCAGCTTTGAAAAAGGCTACCTCTGCCTTCATCCCACGGTTCCCTAGGAGCCAGGCTCAGGTCTTTGGGAACCAGGCCCAGTTCCCCAGCCCAGCATGGGCTGCCAGCAGCATGGATGGAGAGCATCCCACATACCCAGCCACAGGACCAGCCCTTCTCCCCAACTCCCTCCACTGACAGTCCCCCCAGACTTTGCCACCCTGCCTTCATCCTCTTCATCACCCCTTGGCAAAGAACAGCTTGGCACCTCAGCCATCCTACAGGAGGACATGGTGCTGCTGCTTGTCCCTGGTCACGCCAGAGCTGTGCTCCTCTGCCCTGGCCAGGAAGGAAGGAAGGGCTGGTGAAAGGCCGGCCATGCTTACCTCCTCTGCGTTCGAGTCCCGGTAATACCTCAGGCTCGAGTCGGTCAGCACGAACCAATGTTTCTTCCACTGCAGGCGCATCGGGCAGGGGGAGGGAAGGGAAAAGACAGGAGGAAAATGGATAGGCAGTTACCAGGGAAAGCGGAGGAACAAGGAGGGACGCTCTGCACTATGACCTCTCGGCCTTCTCTTCCCCCTCCTCCCTCCCAGATCCCCCTCGTGATCCTCAGCTGGGAGAGAGGCACTCGATGAACCTCTGTGTCCACACACCAAGCAAGGCACCTCCACCAAAAGTTTCCCACTGCCTTTCCCAGCAGGAGATACCTCAGTAAACAAGGAGGAAGGAAATCAGCTGGCTCACCAGGGCTCTCCAGCAGCAGGGGATAGGGGAAGAGGAAGACTCTCATCTGAGGCTTACCTCTCCAGGCTCGTCCAGGATGGACATCCATCCCTTCTTGAAATTGAGAAGATCCGGCTGGAAAAAAAACAGAGAATTACTGTCTTGGAGTGACCCACAAAAGGGCTTTCCATGCCACTGGTGGAAGGTGAGTCCCCTGTGGCCAAACAAAAATGGGAATAGCCTTTTAGGAAACTCATGGGGCTATGCAACCCTATGGCAAAAGAAAACTGGGCATAGCTCTCAGCAGCAGTCATTCCTGTAAGAGGAAGCAGGAGATAAGGGAAGAGGTTCAAAAAAAGTAAAGGAAAATATGCAGCAAAGAGGTTTCCACAAGGTGCCTCAGAGGTATTTATTCAGAGAGGGGGAGGCAGGGACAAGGAGAGTGGGCAGAAGGGAGTGCTCCACCACCACCAATGGGGCTTGCCTCAGAGATGGAGACAAAGCCACAAAGAACCAGACACGCCTTGTCCCAACCCTAGCTGTCCATGCCCCAGAGCTACGTCCCTCTGGTAACTTCACCACCAATCATTTATTAAAAACATAGTAGCTCAGCTCTCACCAAAAACCTACAGGAGGCAATTCAACAGCTGTGAAAACACGTTGACTTTAAACGATGTGCCCCAGGGTAGAGTTGAAGTCAGTGCCTGATCCTCTCCCCTCTCCCTCCAAGGTTCAACCCTTTCTGAGATTCTGAGAGTTTTTCTCTTACCCAGTTCTGTCTGCTCCCCCCCACCTACAGAGTCTGCCCTCTGCCCAGCCACAGCTACAGAAGATAAGAATGAAGAGAATTTCACCCAGATTACCCTGTGCCACAAAGAAGTTTCCACGCACTCTCTACCTCCTCCTAACCTCATGTCGCTGCTGCAGCATCCCAACCAGTTTATCTTCTTCCCAAGGTGGAGCACCAGAGAGCTGACTCAGGGGAACCTCTCTCCCTAGCTTTGGCCCCAGCCAAACAGGCTCGAGCTAGTCCCTCCTCCCACCCCTGCCAGCTCCCAGGAAGTTGCACCATCAAAGAATTCAGTCCAACGCCTCTTCTCCCATGGAAGTCAGTTTGCCAACCTGCCCCTTCTCAGGCAGCCGAACCAGGCAGGGACAGAGTTGGAGAAGCCACGGTACCAGAGCTGGACCTCCCAGAGGTCCAGCACCAAACCTGCCAGTCCTGTGCAAGCCACCAGCAGTCCCTACACGTCACAACCACCAGCTGAGACGGAGCTGGAGAGAAGGAGGTGGCTCAGCAGCCGACGGCCACTCTACATCCCCAGAACAAGCCCAGTGGCCAGCCACACTGCCCCACAAGCCCAGCTCCCTGGCTGTACAGCCAGGCCAAGCCTTTCCCTGCTTTCATCTCCCTGAGCTGCTGCTCGTGGGTTACACCCAAGGTTATGGGGCGGCAAGAGCAGAGTATGTGCCGGCCCACCCTGGCGCTCTGGCTATTGGTTCAAGCAGGAGCAAGGAGTCCTGCCAAGGGGAGGTCACCGCCTGCTGCAGCTTCAGGCCTGGCCAGAAGCATCCGGCAGTCCTGAGCTCCCTGGGAAGGGAGGGAAACCAGAGCGAAAGGACGTGGGGGGCTCCCAAACCTCATCTGCTGCTGAAGTGACAGGCACTGCTGGCAGCCAGGAGACAAGGGGGATTTATGCACCTGCATCAACCCAGATCTATGGTGGCTCCATTGTTGCCCTGAGAAAGCACCCCAAAAATTAATTCTTTCTCTGCGGCAGCAGCTCCACCCTTTTTCCCGTTATTCCTTCCAGTCCGGTGACTTAAGCTCCAGCTCTGAATTCAGAGTGGTGAGAGGGAAGGAAAGGAGACAAAACATCAAAGTACAACCAGCCCCCTCCTGGGACGCACGTGCGCTCAACAGAAGAGAAAGAGATGGGCAGGCTCCATGGAGGCAGAAAAACAATACAGGGAGACAGTGGGACTGTTGTACAGATCAGCTGGGTCTCATCTTATTGAGGATTTACAATCCCAAAGAATTAGGTGCCAAAATAATTAATATTAATGGGATGCATGCCGCTGGAAAAACTGCCATGAAGTCCTGCCAAAACTGCTGCCCCCAGTGCAGTCCTGGGGCCAGAAAATCCCCCTGGAGGGCTTTTCCCAAGCAGGCAAACTGCACAGGGTTTCTGCCTTCCCTGCCAGCCTTAGACACAAAGCTGCAGCTCTACAGAATTGTCTTGGAACTATTCTTGTCATAGCGGAGTCAGCGCCATAAGTAAAGGCCTCAGTCTATACACAAAGTGCTTAAAGCCACTTTTCTTACCTTCCCCACAACCAAAATCAGTTTCCTCACCCAGCATAAAAGCTGAGATGAGTGTGGAGCTCAAACAGAACCCCTCATCCAGAGGAAACAGCCCAGCAGTGGGAGGAGGAAACATCCAGGAAAGCCGAGCTGCTGGGAGAGATCCGGGTGCCAGAGATGCAATGATGTGGCAGGATGCACCCCCGGCAGAACGCGCGGCCCTGCAGCTCGGGGCTGCGGAGGGCTTGGGAGGTGGTGGCAGTGATTTTGCCCAGTTGCATCCATACCCTTCAAAGTTTTATGTTCAGCCCCACAGCTGGCCAGGGAAAGGCACTGGAGGGGCTCTCAGGTAGCTGGGGACATAGGTGATTTCTGGAAAGACTGGCTTGCAACAGCAGGTTAAGGAGCGGCTGCTGCCTGCTCTGGTTGAAGAAGGGCTACAGGGAAGGTGATAACAGTCTGTAAGTATCCGAAGAATGTAAACACCAAAGAAGGAAAAGGGACAGGGTGGGAGCAAAGGAATTGCTCCCGGGTGGTACTGAGGCGCCAGGATGGAGAAGTGGAGGAGAAGAGGCTGCAGGAGGCTGAGAAAGCTCAGTGTCCAAGCAGGATAGTCAGGTGTGTCCTTTCATCACCAGCCTTTGTCATCAACCTGCCTCCTGCTCTTCCCAAAATCTCCTGAGCAGTGTAGGCTCTGAGGCACTGCTTCCTCCCACCTTCGGGAGATGGTGCAAGGGGCTCTCAAGCCTCCCGGAAAGCACAATGTCTCCTCTCCTCTAAAAAGGGAACCCACTTCATAAGGCGCGGGCCTCAGGCCAAAACACAAAGCAAAACCGCTCCAGCTCAGCTGGGCGAAAGCAAAATCACTCCCAGCCCGAGCACACATGCAGCTCCCGAATCTACACGTGCAGTGAGAAGAGCCAGCGACGACGGGCTCTCCCTTTCCCACCGCCCCCGTGCGAAACGCCGGCGGGCACAGCCCAGCCTGTCACCTCCCTTACCCCGCTCGCTCGCGGCCGGCAGCCGCCTGCACCAAGGAAGGTTCGCCCCAGGGGTGGGATGCTCCCTGCCCCAAACCGCATCTGTTTCCCACAGGGAGCCGGAGCTCCCCACGCCCGGGGGAGCACCAATTTCGCATCCGACTGCGGTCATAGGTGCGCTGAGCTGGCCTGGCCTCAGCCCGGTCCACGCTCACGCCTATCGGGGTGGGTGGTGCCCACCGGGGCCGAAGCGCCCACGGGGAGCTCTGGGGGGACCCCGGCGGTGATGGGGAAGGGGACCAAGGAAGAACCGCCACAGGGGTTCTCGAGAGAGGGGGCACAGTTCCCCGGGGAGCTGCGGCTCCAGAGAGCCCCGCAGGCGGCGGCTGACAGCTGGGGTCCCCCGCCCCCTCCCAGCCCCGGGCTGTCCCCCGGGCTCCGCAGGAGGAGTCCCCGCGATCACGGCCCGCCAAGCCCGAACCCCAAATCCCGACTCACCGTCATGGCGGGGGCGCCGCGGCCGGCGGGGCCGGGGCCGGGGTCGCGGCGGGGCCGGGCGCTGGCAGCCAGGGCGGCGGGGCGGCTTCAGCGCCCGGGCGGCTGCCACGGCTCCACCATGCCCGCTCCGCCGCCCGCCCGCGATCCCCGCGCGCCTCTTTCTTTTTTCTTTCTTTTCTTTTTTTTTAAGAAGAAAAAAAGAAAAGGAAAAGGAAAGGAGGGGGGGAAAAAAGAAAACCACCCCAAAAAACTTTTCTTTCCTCCCCCCAGAACTTCCTGGGAGGACCCGGGCAGGCCAATGGCAGCCGCCGCCGCCGCCCCGACCGCCCGCAGCCAATGGAGCCGCCGGGGCGGGCGAGGCCGCCGGTCCGCACGGAAAGGGGCGGTGGCCCCGGGGCGTTGTGGACGGGACGGGACGGGGGCGATGCTGGGGCTGAGCCGTGTCCCTTTCCCGCCTCGCTGGCCCGGGAAAGGTGAAGCCCTGGGAGGGACGGGTTCAGCCGCTGCTGCCCCGGGAAGGGACTGCCGGGAGCCCAGCCCTTACCCAGGCAGGGTTTGCTCCCAGGCTGGGATTTTTCGAAGACAGGGGTTTCCAGCAGTGCACACAATGGAGTCCTCGCCTTGGAGCCTGGGGCCGCTCGGTTTTATCCAGCGAACTGAACCTCTCTGGGCTCATGGCAGGGGTGGTAGGAGGTCACAGGGAGTGTCCCAGTGCCCCTGGAAAGCCATGCCGCTGGGAATTGCTAGAGAGGGTCCCAAAGGAAAAGGGGAGAGGGGCTGTGCATCACAATATGCCAGGCTCTACTGTGCAATCACACCAAGGTGATGCTTCTTGCTGCAAGGCAAAGGGAAGGTGCCAGAGCTCAGTGCTGAAGAAACCTGGCACAGCTGGGGCGATCTGGCCCGGTTGTACAGGGTGAGTTCAGGGCTTTGGGCTCCTCTCTGGCCTGATGCAGGGAAGTGAGGGAGAGGATGTCACCCGTTTCGAGTTTCAGAGGCCTTTGACAGCCTCTTTCCTGGCTGCAGTTTGTCCTTGTATAAAGAACAAAGGCAGGTCCTAGCAGAGGATGACCTGGCTGAGATGACTGATGTGCGCAGAGGGGGACAGAGGCAGGAACTTGTGTGCAGCTGCCAGCTACATGGGCTCCTGGAATACTTCCTGCAGCCCCCCATAGCTCCTGCAATGCCACTTTGCAGGAGTGCCAACACAATACACGGTATCTTCTTTCACACCACTAAAGCCCACTTCATCCCTGTAAAACCCTCGGTGCCATCATAGCACTGGCCAATAATAAAGCAGAGGAAAGCAGCTGTACTGAGACTTTAGTCCCAGGTCTACTGTTTGCCCTTCTCTGGCTTTATAAAAAGGCTCTGTGCTTCAGTTTCCCTACCTGAGAAATGGGTGAAGGACAAAGTGAAGGGGAATGTTGGTGAGCACAGCGTTCAGGACATCAGGGGAAGGCAGCACCATGCTCAGATCAAGTGCTGGAGACCTAGGTCCTGCCCTCAGTGACCCCCAGAGAAGGGCAGCTGCCCTTTCTCACGATACCCAGGGCCTGGCCCCTACCTTGTTGCACTTCTTACTGGCATTCAAATGTGGCTGCGGGCTTCCTGAGGAGCCAGTGCTGCTTTGTGATGGGAAGGTGCTTCCACCCAGCTGGGGCTGCAGGGGAGAAAGCAGGAGCTGAAGCCATTGGGGTTCAGTCCTTACCTCAGTTTCCTAGATCTGAGCATCCATCTCCTGGCGTGAGGCAGGGAAGAAAGCATCTTCCCTCCCCCCAGTGCCAGGCAGTTTCCCTGGAGAAGCAGAGGATCCGAGGGAATCAGGGTGCACATAATTGCAACCCAGTGGACCCACCCAGTTTGTGCTTGCCAGTTTTAGGCCTTGCAGGGTCCCCATCACCTCCGGCTCCTGCCCTACTCACATGGTAAATGAGAAGACTCTTCTTCCCCGAGTCAGTTTCCAATGGCTTCTCAGGGCTGTGTGTATCTCGTGCGTGCTCGGGACCCTTCCAGTCCTCCTCCAGATGCTGTACTGGACTCTCAGGCCTTTTCCAGCTGTCATCCGGCCGTAGTCCCACATCCAGACATCTAGCAGGATTTTTCCAGTCCCTTTCCAGCTGGCGCATCACATCTGCATGGCACACGGGCATCTCTTGGCGCTTCCAGTCCTTCTCCCACGCCTGTGCTTGGTGGGCATCCCCCCGGCCCCTCCAGTCCTGCTCCAGTGGTCGTGTTGGGCTTGTGGGGCGCAGGGGCTTGCCCTGGCCTTTCCAGTCACTGTTGGTGCCCTTTGTGGGCTGGGAGGAGGTCAGCTTTTCCCGGAGGCTCTGCCAGCTGCATTCCGATGGCTTCCTGGGCCCTGCTAGGTGCGGCGGCTCCCCCGGCTTCACTCGTTGCCTCTCTGCCCCCCGCACCAAGCTGGGAGGGGAGATCTCCTTTTGGCTTTTCCTCGTGCTCTCTGTACGCCTCCCAGGACTGAGGGCCCGTGGTGGTGGTGGCCCTGCCCGGCTCAGCCTGACGTTATCTGAGCCCTTCCCAGCACCTGTGGGGTGCAGGGAGTCCCCTCGGCTCTTCTTCTCCAGTGCTTGCCGTATACCCCCTGCTTGCCAGGTGGCTCGGCCCCTGTCAGAGTTTGGGGGGCGGGCAGGCTCCCCTCGGCTTCTCCAGCTTCTCTCAGTGCGACAGGGAGGGTTCACGGGCTCCCCTGCTCTCCTCTCCGGCCTGCGGGATGGGCTTGCGGAGCGTGGGCTCCGGCTGCCTCTCTCCAGCAGCCAGCTAGGGCTGGCAGGGCGTGGGGAGTCCCCCCTGGTCCTGATGGCCTTCTCGGGGTGCCGAGCTGGGCTGGGGGAACGCCGGGGCTCCTTGGGGTCTCTGCTGCGCTGCTCGAGCTGCCAGGAGAGTCGCTGAGCCTGGGTCACAGGGGAGAGAGAGCAGGGATCCTCTTAAAGAAGCGCCAATGAGCAGGACAAGATGGGATTAGGGCTGGCAGGTGATTTGGTTAAATGGTTCCCCAGAGAGCAGTTGCATTCCTGTGCATGGAGCCAGTCCACACTGTAGAGAAGCCTCTTGCACCCAAAGGGTGAAAGGGCTGCTGCATTTTAAGAGCCAAGGGTCCCAGTCCATGACAGAGGGAGATCTGGGATTAAAGGGAAGAGGGAGAAGGAGAATGAAATAGAGAAGCACATGGCAGAAGAAGAGGAAAATGTGACAGGAAAAAGCAACTCAGCTTGCAGAGCTGGATGAGGTCCTGCTGTGCAGCCAAGCCTCACCTCCCTGGGCAGGTTGGGGCTGGACCGCCTCCGAGTTAGGTGGCCTTTGCTGGGTGGCACCGGCGTCTTGCCATCGAGCCGCTCCACACGGCCCTCCTCCAGAGCCTGGAAGGCCTCCAGTGTCTCTGATTTCCTGTGGGCACACACAATTGTTCCAGCTGCCACCCTGCTCAGCTTGGAAGCAGAACCACTGCAAACCCTGCTCCACCTTAGCCTGACCCCACCGACCTGCACCTGCCCCAGACACCGTGAGTGCTGTAGCCTCTCTCTGTCTCCACCAACCACCTCCGCTTTCATATCCTGCTGCCTCACCCGTGTCTTCTTCACACTATTCCTCAAGCTTCCCTCCATCTTCACATCCCACCCACTTGCCCAGGATACTTTTACATTCCCTCTTTATGACCCCTCCTGCCCTGTGCTACCAGTACTGGAGTCACTCTCGCTCCTCCAGCTAAAGCCTAAACAGCTACTGGGTACTTCTTGGCATCCCCTATCATTTCCTTAGTGCCTCCTACAGTGAATGTGGAATCCCTGGGGAGCTATTGGTGCTTGGATTGGGGAACACCTCTTTCCTGGCCCTTTTACCGTGGGGAGCCCTGCTTTGCAGCACGTCTTGCAGCTTCCAGGTGGCTGTGAGGATGAGAAAGGTGGGCTGCTCCTTTCCAGCAGTGCAGCTTAGCTCCACCTTTCCAACAGCCTCAGCTGCCCGTGTGCTGCAATGGAGGAGGCTCTGAGCCTAGATTCAACCCTTGCTTTGAGGGAAACTTAAGCACAGCTGAAAGCTGAGCTCTGCCATCTAGCCCTGCCTTCCTCCTGAAGAACGGCAATTCGGGAGGGGGCCCCCCCAACAGCATGGAAGGGCAATCCCCTGCCTCTGACCACTGAGGAGTCCCGTTACTTCTCACCTGCGTTCACATCCAAATATCCTCTCCACCTCCACTCGGCCAGGGCTGAGTGTCCGGGAACCACAGCGGTCAGCAGCGTCCCGCTGCCCGAGGCGCTTGGGCTTGGGCAGGTCTGCCAGCACCGTGTACTCCTGCCTCTCCAGCCCGTGCCGTGCCTCTGCTCCCCCACCGTGCCCATGGAACTCCCGGAGCCGTGGGCCAGAGAGGGACCCGCTGCCACCCAGCAGGTTGCTGCGGGCCGGCGGGGAGCCGGCCGGGGCGCGCGGCAGGGTGGATGCCCAGGGAGGGTCTGTTTTTCGGTGCTTTGGCCAGCTCTCCTCGGGCTTCTGGCTGGCAGGACGGCGCTCTGGGACGGGGAGAAGGCCGTTACTGGGGGAGGCGCGAGCGACGCGGGATGCCACCACGTCCACGGCAAAGCAGGTCTTCGGAGGAGAGCTAGAAATGGTCCAGGAGGGCAGAGATAAAACCCAGACTCCCTCGAGGCAGGGTGGGAGCACTGGAACACTTCGAGCCGAGGACATGCCAAACCATGCAGATAGAGAGCACCCGAGACGCCCACGGTTCGCAGACAGCACACATACAGATGGACTCTCACACGGTGCCCATGGATGTGTTGAACACTTCCTGGGACCAGAATTAGATAAAGAGATGCTAAACCTAAACAGAGATCTGCCTTGAACCTCAGAGACCCTTGGGTGGAAAGCAAACCAGAACCAGGATCTCACACAGGAGCAAACCAAGAGTACCTGCTTTCAGTGGACAGATTTCTTTCCTAAAGCCCTGGGCTTCAGTTCTCACCCAGGATCCAGAGGGAACAGGCTGAGCCCACCTGGGGCTGTCTGCCTGTGGGGCTCGTGACCGCACCTCCTCCTTATGGCCCAAGTAGCTCATCATGTCCCGTTTGCCTGATCCCAAAGTGTTGTCCCACAGCCGGGTCATTTCCCCTTCCTGGGAGACAAGATAGGGCAGATCTCTGCAATGGGGACTAGTAGCTTCTGTGGGCTGGAAGGAGGTAAGAGTATATATGAAAACTTACAGCCCGTTCAGCTCAAAGCTGCTGGTAAAAAGGAACCCGAAAAGGAGCTCTGTATCTGTAAGATGATGCCAGACCAATGATGGCAAGAAACAACATAGAAAAGTCCACATGGGAGTATCCAAGAGCAAATCTCATGAGCTCTTTAGGGGGAGAGCCTCCATTGTGGGAACTAAGAGTCTCAGCTGATCCCCCCTTAGAATCACAGAATATCTCAAGTTTTAAGGGACCCATAAGGATCATCAAATCCACCTCCCTGCACATGATGGGCTCTTTCTTGCATCTGCCCAAGGCAGGAGAGCCAGAGGGGCAAATTCAACATGCCTGTGTGCCCAGGAACCTGCTGAATGGGCCCAGCAAAAGCGGCATTGAAGGGCCAAGGGAGCTGGGGAGACCAAAATAACCCAAACCACCAGAGATCCCCATCTCACCCTGGCAAGCGTGGAGTTGGCTTCAGCACAGGCGCTGGGGTCGGTGCCAGTTTCTCTGTGCTCGCCCTCAGCTCCGGGGCTGAGTGGGGGATATCGCCTGCTCTCGTGCCAGCTGTGGGGCAGGGAGAGAGGACAGCTGGTGGTCACCACAGCCCACAGAGCTCAGGGGCGAGTGACAGCACTGGCAGCCCAAGCCACACTGACTCAGTCTCTACTGGATGGGCAGAGGCTGGCAGATCCTGAGACCACCATCCTTGCTCTGGAGGGAATGAGGATGAAGAAGACTCTTTCAGGGGCCCCCTGACCTCTCCAGGGTCAGCCCAGAGGAATGGTTAGAGGGCATGGCACAGGGGTTTCTCAGACCTTTTTCCAGGCACCAGTGTGCAGAGCATCAGGAAAAAGGCAGCTGATTTCCCCCTGCTTGGCTTCCCGCTCCCCCTCCTCCGTTCTTCCCCCCGAAGGGGCCTGCTGGAGCAGCAGGGCTCCCGGCTGGTACTCACCGCTCCGTGCCCTCCGCCGGGCCCACACACACGTATACCTCGCACTGCGGGGCTAAAATATGGAGGGAGTCCCAGGGCTCTCCTGGGGCTGCGTCGCTGCAGGCATCTCGCCCTGTGACCTCCGTGCCATGATCCTGCGAGGAAAAAGGGGTGCAATGGTGCTGTCAGCGTGCCAAGGATGAGGATGGAGGCTGCCCCTTGGAAATGCCTGCTCCTTCTACCTCCTCTGAGAGCAGCCTGGCCTCCAGGGCTCTTGATATCTCTCCCAGCCCACCGTTGAGATTTTTCTCCTACACCGAGGCCAGGGAGGCCCAGCACGCTCCTATTTGATGCTGAATGCTGCGGACATCCCAGAGACTGCATGTGTGCATGAGGGGTCAGGGAATCTGCCCCCCCATGTCGGCACTGATGCTGCTGGTAGCTGCTCTCCCTCACCAGCAGGATAGCTCAGGGAGAGGCAGTGGAGCCGAGAGGAAGGAAGATTTTTGCAGAAAAGGCTGTAGTCCCAGCCTCTGCCTCTCTCTGTCAGGGCTTGCAGGCGTCTCAGCATCCTCCCTGGCCCCCGTTACCTGCGGGGCTTATGAGCAGCAGTGGGGGAGGCTCCGGGGAGCCGGCTGTCTGCGCCGCCTTCCCTCCAGCGTCTCGCCTGCACCCGGATTCACTCAGAGCTGACAGCTCTGAGCAGATCGAGGGTGAAGGGCTGAGGTAACCTTAGAGGGCCCAAGGCCAGGAGGAGAGGGGGAGAGGGTGAGAGAGAGAGGGAGGCTCATTACTATTTCATCATCCCCGGCCAGTCGCTCCTGGAGGACGTCAAACAACACGAAACCCTCTGTGAACATGAAGCCAGCTGCTGCCCAGTCAGAGACAGCCAAGTACCTTGTGTGTCCAGTCCTGTCCCAAAGCATCATGTCAGATCAAGGTATCTGGAGCACAAAACCCCATGAGATTTACCCCTCTCCTGCCTTCTCCACTGGGAGCATCTTGCTGAAGCTGCCTCAGGGACAGAACAGAGCCCTGGCCCCAAGCCAACAGCTGAGGCCATAGAGAATCGACCAGGACTGTATTTAAGGTGAGGCAAAGCTGTAAATGCCAGCAAGCGTCAAGCAGAGATTAATACAGGGCGGGTCCCTGCTCTGCCAGGCTCCAGTTCCCTCCTTGTAGCTTTGCATCTGTGACACCCCTGCTTTCCCTTCCAGGGAAAGGCTATCAAGCCCCTTGCATCCAGTGTCCAGCACTTCCCTGCTCAGCTTGGTTCCCAGATTTGGTACGGCACAGTTAAATGAAGCATTCTTGTGCCTGGAAAGGGATGCCTCATAGAGATTTTCCCCACCAAGAAATCTAGAAATCATGGCTGAGCCTTTGTCTTAAGGATTTCTATCTCTAAAAAGGCAGGTGCAGTCCCAGTAAAGAGGCCCTTAATGAAGTGTCCATAGCCTGCAGGTGGGATGGAGGAGCTCACCTGGACAGCATGCTGGTGAGCCCCTGCGGCTCGGAAACAGTGCTGGCACAGGCTCTTTGCAAATATGTTGGCTTCAAAGTTCATGCAAGGCACGTCATCCACTGAACCAGACATTGTGCATAGCAGGGACGAAGATCTTTGGCTGATGGGCTGCTGGCAGGGGCCAGCCAGGAGAAAAAGGAGGAAGGAACAGCAGCAGAAGAAGCTGTGGAAGCAGGAATGTTATTTCCAGACTGAAGTTTGCTGCTCCCAACTGTCAATAGTGGAATCAAAGGGAACCCAGGTACAAGGTGATCCATAGAAATACAGGTAATAAAAGAATGTCTCTAGCAGAGACCTCTTTTAGAAGGGGCACTGCTCTCTGAAATGACTGCTGACTCTCCTCTGTTTGGCAGTCCTTGTGAACAGAGGGAATGATGCACATGCCCTGCTATTTTGTTTGATGGAAGTGTTCTTTCTCCCTTAAAAACCACAAAAACTAAACCATTCTTCTTAATTATGTTGGTCATAAAGGGATGGCTCTAAGCAGTTTAGGAAATCTGGAAACCCACTGAGACTCTTGTTAATCCTGCTAAAATTTTCAGACCTGTAGGACAGCGGACTGCAAAACTGAAGGGTAACAAGCATTGCTAGCACAACAGCTGGGATCCACATTTCTGTTCTGTTTTCTTGCAAGCATCCTGCCCACCATAACCTCCTCTGTCCTGCAAGATTTGAGAGTGAGTCCTCAGATTTGAGAATGTGATCTGAGCTGGGAGGGTTCTGCCTAATTTTCCTGGAGGGGGCACCAACAGAAGGACAGGAAATCAGACCAGCATCTGAGAGGTGAACATGCCACTGGTGCCGTAAACATGGACATTTGAGTCAGAGCAGCTGATCAAGGCTACGGCTGCTCCTCAAAACAACGAAGGCCAAACGTCACTGCCAAAACAAAGCTATAACTTTTGTTTGTCAGTGCACCCATTTTCAGTACAGCAAGTTGCACTAGGTGCCAGCCTTGCAGCATCCTTCCTCACACTGGGGCATGTTTGCTTTACTTGTTCACACAAAATGCTTGACAGGAGCCTAAGCACTCCCCTGCCAGGGATGCAGCACAAAACACGCCAACATCGCTGCCCGCCACTGCCCATGGACTGCCACCCGTGGCTGGAACCCCTGGTACCCCACGGCCTGATGGGCAAATCATCACTCCCCACATCCCTTGGGGCCTGCTGTCAGGATAACGCTGCGATCCCCAGGGCCTCTGGCATGCATGCAGCCGGTCGTGCTCAGTGCTCCCAGTAGCTCCCAGTATCCCCAGTACCTCGGCTTCCCCACGGCTCCCGGCACCTCGCCGCCCGCCGCGCTCCCCCCTCAATGAAGCTCGCCGTGGGAACGGCGGGGCGCGCGGCCCCGCCCCCTCCCCTCTGATTGGCCGCCGCCGGGCAGTGATTTGAATACCGCCTCCTGATTGGGCGGCGGCGGCGCGCGGCCATGGCGCCCCCGGCGCGGGCTCCCACGTGTCGCGGGCAGCGGGCGAGCGGCGGGGCTGGGCCCGGGCAGCGGCAGCGGCAGCGGCAGGGGCAGCGGGGCCGCCCCCTCGATGGGCAAATCATCACTCCCCACATCCCTTGGGGCCTGCTGTCAGGATAACGCTGCGATCCCCAGGGCCTCTGGCATGCATGCAGCCGGTCGTGCTCAGTGCTCCCAGTAGCTCCCAGTATCCCCAGTACCTCGGCTTCCCCACGGCTCCCGGCACCTCGCCGCCCGCCGCGCTCCCCCCTCAATGAAGCTCGCCGTGGGAACGGCGGGGCGCGCGGCCCCGCCCCCTCCCCTCTGATTGGCCGCCGCCGGGCAGTGATTTGAATACCGCCTCCTGATTGGGCGGCGGCGGCGCGCGGCCATGGCGCCCCCGGCGCGGGCTCCCACGTGTCGCGGGCAGCGGGCGAGCGGCGGGGCTGGGCCCGGGCAGCGGCAGCGGCAGCGGCAGCGGCTCGGCCTCTGCCCTCCCCAGGGACCGCCCCACCGCCTGCCCAGGGGCTGCCCGCTGCTCCTCCGGGGCAGCACCCCAAGAGTTAGTTATCCCGAAGCTGAAACAGATGCCAAACGCCACCGTGTCCCAGCACAGCTCCAACAGCAGGTCATGCCTGCCCACAGCACTCAGAGAGATTTGACTAACGTGGGCTTTACCTACCAAGAACAAGCCCTGCCTGCCTGACCCTCGCTATTTCTAGCAGAACGCCCTTAAAATCTGTCCTCCACTGCTCCTTCTACAATTCAAACTCCTTCTCTTCCCGATGCTGGTAACAGTTACAAAAAATTCAATTTCAATTTTTGTTCATTCATTAGGGGCAGTCTGCAATCCACCCCTCAAACCTATCTATCTCACACAACCCATTATTCAGCTCCCTTTTAGTCCCTGAAAGTTCTCATCACTCTTCCAGTAATTTTTTTCCTCGAGTTCGTTTCTGGAACACAGCGCTGGAAGCAGCGGTGTGACTGTACTGAGTACAGCCTTGAGCTTGATACACGACAAAAGCAATAACTACAGTGCACTGATTATCACACAGCTCATGCACACACTCCCATTCCTCCCTTTTGCTGTGCTCCAATTTCCCCGCAACTGTCTGATCTTTTTGGCTCCCAGTCTGCTTTTGATCCTCTGTAATCCCAATTATATTTTTGTATGTGTATGTGTGTGTAACTGCAGCCTAGCCAGTGAAAGCCATCAGGCATGGCAGTCCCAGTGTGGCAGTCCCAGTGTGGCAGCCCATGTCAAAGCCCTGCATCTCTGTGCCAGCCTGGGGCATGTGCACATCAATGTGCAGGCGCCCGATGTGACCTCACTGCAAAGCCACATGCGAAACGCCTGTGGAAAAGGGGCTTCACAGGGAGCTGCTGGTCTCTGCTTTTCCTTTACGGAGCAGCAACTGCACTAGCATGTTCATTTTTGCAAGTACCTTATATTTTTCAAGTACCTTACATTTGGAAGCAGCCTCCTCCTGAGCAGCTAAGAGGAGGAAGAAACCCCAAAATGCTCAAACCCATCTTGAAAACAACTGGAAGCAGCAAAGAAGAATTTTAAGCCAGAGTCTGGTATGAACTGTGACATGTCTGGCAAACACTTCACTCACTGACTTGTGTGCGAAAACTCATATCCTCACTTCAATATATCCAGGGGTAGCCTGACTGTATACCCTGTGCATAACAAAAGCAACAGACTAGGGCTGAGTCAGTAATTCACATTACAGAATAAAGCTTTAATCAATCAAATGGAGAAATCAATAGTGTAGTGAACAATCCTGATGGTTAATGCTGCATAGGAAATAACAGTTCTGTTCTCAGTTTTTCCATACTTTTTTTTTTTTTTTTAATTTGAAAACTCATTTTCTAGCAGGAACTGAAAGATTTCAGTGTGGAAGGGGCTGTTGGAGACTTCAGCTGACACTTGAGAAAGGCTCAAAAATGTTACTAGGCCAGGGAAACAGCAAACTAAAAGTGAGATTCTTCTAGATCACCTGGCAGCAAAATGACAAAAACTGAAGCCACTCTTAGCACCTCATCCGGAATACAATGAGGTCATCCAGCTCTGTCCCAGCTACAATGCCAGGCTGCTACGGCTGGGGAAGGGAACTGAGCCACATTCCACACTCCAGCAGATTTCTCAAACAGATAGTATATTTCTTTTACAGTGGCCATCCCAGCTCCAGAGCAAACTCCTCGGGTGAGGAAGCATACAGGTCACCTTCTGCCCACAGTCACACCACAAGGCACTACGTCCTGGAGGGAAGGGAAAGCTGCTGCATGATCCAGACTAAGGACGTCACCCTGTCCTCTAGCTTTGAGCTGCAGTGTCCTCGGTGTGATACACCTCTCCAAACAGAACTTCCCTCTCCTTATCGCCTTCATCCCTCTCAAACCCACCAAGAACAGAATGCTCTAGAGCATGTAACTCCCAAACCAGAACAAGAAATAATTTATACTCCACACACAGGACCTCTTGGATACTTTGGCTGAGATCCAGTTCAGTCCAGTTGTGTTTTTGCAGCTTTGAAACACCCAAGAACCCCAGGTGAGACAGGTGGATAGGTAAGCTCACCCATCAAATCCCATGACCTTTCTGGAGCGGTCTTTAAGACAGCGTTAAAAGGTGAGGTGAGAAAACCACACACACACCTTAATAATGTGACTGAGTTTATTCTGTGTTAGTGCTCAAGAACTCAGCCCAGGGTGGGACTCTGAATCCAAGCATACAAGACACCAGTGATAACAGTGTCCACTTCCTCAGCAATTACCTTCTTCAGAAGGGAAAGGGAAGTGCAAGAGGACCCCATTCCTTACCACAACACGTGTGTCATGCGCTGCCTGGCTCTCTCCAGAAGCCTCCCTCTAGCAGAAATTGTGCTGCTGCTGTCAGTGTTGAGATCACACCCTCCTCCTTAACACACTGTGGAGAACAGCTCTGTGTGCACACCCTACAAGGAACGATGGAGAGATACATCAGGCTGGTGCCATTCACTTTAGTGGCTGGTGGCCGTCAGCATTGTTCTGATGTTCCTCCATGCAGCCTCAGGCACTGCTTTACTCTTTTCTCTCCCATTTCTGGCATGAGGAATCTATTTACTTGCCCATTGCTGGGTTGCAAATTTTTCTGGTGTGGGTTTTGGACACACAGGCCTTTTCTTTCTTTGTCATTTCCTTTTCAGTGCACACATGGCATGGGAGGAGGCTTGGCTGACAGAGGCAGAATACTCCAGGACAGAGGCCAGCATACTGCCTGGGCTCACTCTCCTCCTCAGAGGATTCACTCACAGTTTTGCCACGGATATTCCTAAATCCCTACCATACAATTTTTTTTCTTCCCCTGCTGAGGGCAACCACAGTAAAAAACATACACCGAGGTCCTAAGAAGAAAGGCAATTAGCTGCTAATAACTGCAGCAACCCTGAGGTAAAGGACAAGGGCAGCCCGTGCCACTCCCACCCGGAGAGGGCCACACACACACAGCAAGGGCATTAGGGCATTTCATACTCCCCTGAGCTATCGCAGTTACGATCGGCATATTCAGCAGACAATGGAATGAGCCATTCCTGCTCTAGCTGGCTCTGCCTTGCCACAGAAATAGCTCCTAGCTATTCCATTTTCCAAGCACCAGTGGATTTCAATATCCTTTAAACACCAGGAATTACCTCCCCCACTCTCCAGTTGGTACTGGCGTTAGCATAGCTTCCACTATGCTTCAAATAAGTCACAGATTTATTTTTTTCTTAGCAAAATACTTCAAATTTATTCACAAAGATACCCAATTTCACCTGGCACAAGTACCAAACAAAAAGTACCCCTGCATTCAGGTGTGGCACTGTGTTGTGTGGTGAAGAAACACAGAAGACAAGATGACACCACGTCTCCATGGAAAAAGGATTTACTGCACAGCAGAAATGCCAGGACACTGATGCAGGAGTGCAAGCAGAGCTCTCCCAAATCTCTCAAATTGCCCTGACAATGATGTGCCTGTTGCACTCTGCCCCAGATCCCCTTCTTTGATAAAGCCAAGTATCAGCTCTGAAAGGGGGGGCCAAGGACAGAAGGGTTATGCCAAATAGAGAACACAACCTTCAGCAGAAGTTTTTAAGATTCTGTGGTACCCAGACACTCAGCTGGAGATCACTGCAAAAATAAATGGGTAGAGTGTCTAGCCACCCTTGCCAGTGCTCAGGAGGCTACAGAAAGGCTGAACTGGCCTGGGTTAATGGCTAGTCAGAATGCCATGTAAACAAGGTGCTTGCCCTCAATGACAGGGCCCCAAAGAGCAGCAGGCCAGATGTGGAGCACTGTCCCAGCTGGTGGTCTGAACGTTAGATTCTCTGTTAATCCTGGTCACGGCCCATTTTGCCAGTCAGCCTCCGACGCTGTGTCTTGGTGGTTCGCCCTGTGCAGGACTTCTGGATTTTCTTACGTGGGCCTTGCCCGCGTTGGGATCTCTTTCTTTTTGTCTTCTTCTGGCTGTGCATGTGCAGCGTGGCAGTAAGAGAAGAGATTCTGTGCAGGGCAGAAAGAGAAAAGTGTTTGGGGACCAAAGCCTGCAGAAGCAAGGCGACACCACCACAATATCTGGAGAGCTCTGTGTGGCCCAGAAGGAATGGATGCCAGACACAGCAAGACCCAGAGGGACTCTAAGCTATGCAGGAAACCTGCAACTCTCCATGCGCAGTGACAACAAAAATTAATGTTGTGAGCATCGTGGTGCCCAGACCCCACAGAGTTAAAGCAACTCTCCACACCCTCAAAGCAGCCGTAAAACTTGGCTACTGAAAAATGCGGAGAATGCCTTAGCTTTCAGCTTTAGAAGCCTCCGACCTTCAACCCTAGAGACAAGCTCTGCTCGCTGCAGAGCGTGCGGCGGTGAAGGAGGGGTGTGAGGTGCGGACGGAGCGCAGCCCTCTCAGCGGGGTGGCGGCAGCGCAGCTCATCTCAGTTCAGCGCAGCTCAGCTCAGCGCAGCGCAGCTCAGCTCAGCTCACCTCAGCGCAGCTCAGGGCAGGGCAGCTCAGCGCAGCGCAGCTCAGCTCAGGGCAGCGCAGCTCAGGGCAGCGCAGCTCAGTTCAGCGCAGCTCAGTTCAGCGCAGCGCAGCTCAGCTCAGCGCAGCTCAGCTCAGCGCAGCGCAGCTCAGCTCAGCGCAGCGCAGCTCAGCGCAGCGCAGCTCAGTTCAGCGCAGCGCAGCTCAGCTCAGCTCAGCGCAGCTCAGCTCAGCGCAGCGCAGCTCAGCTCAGCTCAGCTCAGGGCAGCTCAGGGCAGCTCAGGGCAGCGCAGCTCAGCGCAGCGCAGCTCAGCTCAGCGCAGCGCAGCTCAGCTCAGCGCAGCGCAGCTCAGCTCAGCGCAGCGCAGCTCAGCGCAGCGCAGCTCAGTTCAGCGCAGCGCAGCTCAGCTCAGCTCAGCGCAGCTCAGCTCAGCGCAGCGCAGCTCAGGGCAGCGCAGCGCAGCTCAGGGCAGCTCAGGGCAGCTCAGCGCAGCGCAGCGCAGCTCAGCTCAGGGCAGCTCAGCGCAGCGCAGCGCAGCTCAGCGCAGCGCAGCTCAGCGGGGCGGGCGGGCCGCGCTCCGCCAGCGCCCCCTGCCGGCCCGCACCGCACCGCACCGCGCGTCCCGGAACCCAGCATTGCCATCAGCTTCCAGAGGCATGGAGCAATCCGTACGTACTTTTCAGACAGGAAGGGGTTTCTGGACTTCTTAGGCATTGTTCTCACAGGCTTGTTCACCACCTCTTCCCCTTTCTCTTCTTCCGATCCATCCGTTTTTCCCTTAACAAGAAAGCACTTTTGTGATTCTGGTGTTTCCACTGCCTTCTTGGTTTCATCCTGTTTTGTGACTAGTCACAGATGAAGATTTCTTAATCCTCCACACCCCTTGCTGTCCAAGTGCCAAGGTTTCCTGTCACAGTCCCACAGAAGGGCACAACTAGAGATGTGCTACAGTAATCCACCCCAAGATCCAAAAACTTCAGCATGATCTTAATGGCCATGTGATTGAAGTTTAAACTTGAATGAACCAAAGGTCTTGGCTTTTGCTTAAATTACCACCAAGACGTCTCTGAGTGGACTTTCAGATTAGATGACCTTAAAAATATAAGCACAACCAACACCTGAGAGTCTCTAAGAAACAAATACAAGCTCTTAGTTACAATGTATTTTGAGAATAAAAGTGACCACAACCAGAACTGAATGGTTTCCTTATTTGTGGTCCAAGCATGGGATTAGGGAGAGAAAAATGCCTCCTCATGCTAACAGTAATATTTCTGAACAGGACACAGGAAAGAGGTCAAGGACGGACCATTCGGCAAAGTCTGAAATCTTGCTGCTTGTCTTGTATCAGCTTTTAAAGTATTACACTGTTGCAATCAAGTCCAGTAACACTTTTCATTTAACCAGGGTCAGCTGGGACTAGCAAAGGGTTCCAGAGAGGTGTGGAGTGAGCTATTCATACAGAACATTTTCTTCTCTTTAGAGGCCCAGTTTAAATTGTGGAAAAAAAGAAAAGTTATGAGTTTCCCTCTTCATCCCTGTTCCCAGCCAGCTGTGCAAGGCCTTGGACATACTCAGGGACCACCAGCCCTACCTCACCAGCCCCAGGAGTGTGTACAGGTGACACAGAGAAGTAGCAAGAGGCTTTACCACGGGGCTGGTCAGTCCCAGCTGGCGTGCCCCCGAGAGGTCCAGGTCGCTGATGGTGGTCACTGTTACGATGTGGTTTGGGTGGTCGATGTTCACAGACTCCGTCCGCGATGTCACCAAGTGCTCCAGCTCATCAGCCTCCTCTGGGAACACAAGAAATCCTACACTGCAAAGTGCCCAACTTTTCACAGGATAAACTCACCTGTTTCTTATGAACCACGCTGGGCTGGGCTTACACCCGGCCTTGGCATGCAGGGATAAAGGGCAGAGGGGCTTGGCACTGGAGCCTGGAGGGCAAGCTCCTTCTCCCCACTGAGGGGACCTGGTGACACCTTGGAGATGTCCTCCTGCTCCTTCCTTTCTGTACAACCCCCATGACTGCCGGGACAGAGGGCTGCGGGGTCACTGCTCAGATTGCTGCCCAGCTTGTCTGGGGAACACGACAGGCCCGAGCAGCTGTGGGATAGCGTGTGAGCATCCCTGCCCCAGCCCTCAACACCCACCCAAGGCTGCCGGAGCACGGGCGCCCACCTCACTCCCCACCGAGCGCCCAGCACGTACCGAGCGCCTCCTCCCTCTCGCTCAGCATCTTCAGATACTCCTGGTGCCGCTGAGGAACACAAACAGGTCATGGGGCGCCTCTGCCCGCCCCTCCGGCCCCGCTCACGGCCCGCCCTGGCGAGGGGGCACACGAGACCCTTCCCTCACCTCCTCTTTAATTTTATTCTGCTCTTTCTTCAGCTTCCGTTTGATCTCCTCCAGCGCCGCCTTCCTCCGCTCCACCTTCCGCTTGTGGAAGCCGGTCAGGTACTCCCTGCCGCCGACAACACAGAACGGCCCGGCTTTCAGCCACCGGGGGCTGCCCGCCCTCCCCGCCTGCGCCCGGGGCCCGCCCGGCCTCACCTCCGCTGCTTCTCGTCGAAAGTCACCACCAGCCGCCCCTCGCGGGCAGAACCCTTCTTGTTCTTCTTGCGGCCCATGGCGCTCCCACGCTGCCGCCGCCGCCCGCCCCTTCCGCCGGATCCCGGCAGCGCTGTCCTTCCCCCGGCCCGGGCGGGACGGGCGGCCGCCGCACGGCCCTCGCAGGCGCTGTGCCCGGCCCCGGAGTCCGGCCTGGCGCGGACGGGGCTTGCTTCAGGCGTGGGAGTCTCCGGCCGCGCTCCTCTTCAGCTTCCTCCCAGCAAAAGATTCTGTGGCTCTGCCTTGTGCGGAGAGCATGGCAGTGTAGCACCGCTCTCACGGTGTAGCCCGAGACTCGTTCTGACACTCCAGAGTGTTTTGCATCTACATCTCTTAAATAAATGTCACTCTTCCTAATAGTTAACATCTGCAGTTCTTCAGCTGAGCATTCTCCAATAGAGCTCTGAGTTTATTTCAAGCTATTGTCATTTCTTGGTGTTAGCAGAGCATGTGCTGCTTCTTTTACCCATGGAAGGCAGTTGTGGAGATGGGTCTTGGCTCTGATGCTGTGCCCAAGTCGCAGCACCCAGCTGACAGCCATGATTTCTGTAGTGGTGGAGGGAGGTACTGGCATGAGTTGGTGGGGGGTGTCAAGACTGCCATGTTCCGATGGCTTAGAGTGACATTGGCTGAGCTCCTGAACCTTTATTGCTCCCCTGTTCTCACCATAAAAATGGGTGTAATGCCTGTGTGGTGGCCAGCTGCCTTCGGTGGAAGCTTCTGAAGTGTTGTAGGGGCAGCCAAAGCCAGTCCCCCAGCCCAGAGAGCATGACGAGCCCTGACAGGAGTCCTGTCACAGCCTGGCAGTCACTTGTCCACAGCCAGCTTTCCTTTATCAGCTTGCTTGCTGCTTTCGCTCTTTTCCTGGTCTGTCCTTTCACCAGCAGAAATGTGGAAAAACCAGTTCTGTGGTTAGTTGCTGCACTTCCCTCCACGCCCATGGGGCAGGTCTCCTCCTCCTCAGTCCTCACGCACAGTCTGGGTGCACTTCAGCCTCCAGCCTCTTTGCCC